TCATTAGTTATAAGAAATTTTTTGATTTCCTGTTTAATTTCTTCTTGGACTGATATGTCATTAAGTAGAATGTTGTTTAATTTCCATGTGTTTGTATATTTTCCAGAATTTCATTTATTATTGATTTCTAATTTTAATCCATTGTGACTGGAAAAAAATACATGGAATAATTCCAATTTTTTTGAATTTGTTGAGACTTGCCTTGTGTCCTAACATGTGGTCTATCCAGGAAAATGTTCCATGTGCTGATGAGAAGAATGAATATTCTGAGGTTGTTGGATGGAATGTTCTGTAGATATCTGCCAAGTCCAATAGGTCTAAAGTATTGTTTAGATCTTGTGTTTCTCTATTGATTTTTTGCCTAGATGATCTGTCCAATGAAGAGAGTGGGGTGTTAAGGTCCCCCACTATTATGGTATTAGTGTCTATCTCTTTCTTTAGATCTAATAGTCTTTGCTACATAAATCTGGCTGCTCTGATATTGGGTGCATATATGTTTATGATTGTTATGTCTTCTTGATAGATAGATCCTTTTATCATTATATAGTGGCCTTCTTTATCTTTTTTTTGTGGTTTTTGCTTTAAAGTCTATTTTGTCTGATACAAGAATAGCTACTCCAGTTCGTTTTTCATTGCTATTTGCATAATATATCTTTTTCCATCCTTTCACTCTTAGTCTATGTGTGTCTTTTTAGGTCAAGTGAGTCTCTTGAAGACAGTATATTGTTGGATCCATCTTTTTAATCCAGTCAGTCAGTCTGTGTCTTTTGAATGGGGAATTTAATCTCTTTACATTTAGAGTTGTTATTGAAAAGTGTTGATTTACACCCAGCATTTTACTAATTTTTGTGTAGATGTCTTAAGTTTCTTTTGTTCCTTTCTTTCAAATTTTCTGTTTGTCTTCTGTCTTTGTTGGTTTCTTGGGGTGATAGATAACCTACTTTTTTCTCTTTTGTTAGCATTTTTGTTTTGCTGGGAGGTATTGTTCTTTCTTGAGTATTCACCGCAGTGATGGTTGTTTTTGTGGTATCTAACCCAGTACTTCCTTGAGAATTTCTTGTAGGGCTGGTTGTGTGGTAGTGAACTCCCACAGTTTTTGTTTGTCTGAGAAATATATTATTTGTCCTTCATTTCAGAAGGATATCCTTGCTGGGTAAAGTATTCTTGGCTGGCAATTTTTGTCCTTTCATGTTTTGAATATATTGTCCTATTCTTTTCTGGTTTTTAGGGTTTCTGATGAAAAGTCTGATGTTATTCTGATTGGGGCTCCCTTATAGGTGACTTGCTGCTTCTCTCTTGCAGCTTTTAAGATTCTCTCTTTGTCTTTGAGTTTTGCCAGGTTGATTTTCACATGTCTTGGAGAGGATCTTTTTGGGTCAAATGTGTTTGGGGATCTTTGGGCTTCCTGAATCTGGAGATCTGTGACTTTCCCTATACCTGGGAAGTTTTCTGCTATTATCTCATTGAATATGTTTTCAATGCTATTTCCTTTTTCCTCCTCTTCTGGAATACCCATGATTTGGATATTTGAGCACTTAAGGTTGTCTGTAGTCTCTCTTAGATTTTCTTCAATTTTTTTGATTCTTTTTCTTTTTTTCTGGTCTGCCTGTGTTAATTTAAACAGCCTGTCTTCAAGGTCAGAAATTCTCTCTTCTGCTTACTCAAGTCTGCTGGTCAAACTCTCTGTTGAGTTATTTATTTTGTTGAATGAATCCTTCAGCTTCACAAGCTCAGCTACGTTCTTTTTCAAGGAATTGATTTCTTCATACATTTCTTCTTTCAGATCAATTATGTATTTTCTCATTTCATTGTGTTGTCTGAGTTTTCTTGTATCTCATTTAATTTCCTTAGAATTGTTACTTTAAATTCCTGTCTGTCATTTCAAAGACTTCCTGTCCTATAGGATCTAGCACTTGACAGTTATTATTTTCCTTTGGTGTTGATATACTTTCTTGATTTTTCATATTTCTGGTATCTTTCTTTTGGTGTTTTGTCATTGTGGCCAGAGGTATCACAGTCCACTCATTTCACACTGATGACTGGCTTGGATCCTGAAGGGACTGCCACTTCTGGTCAGCTGGAACTAGCCTGGGCTGGGGTTCCCACTGAGCCTGACTGTTCTGAGACAGATGGCTTGGGGCGTGGGGTCCCTGAGGCTCTTAAGTCTCTCCTGGGGGTGGGGATCAGTCTGGGCCAGAGGTTCAGCCCCACCTGCCTTCTCTGGGATGGCTGCCTTGGGGTGTGGGAGCCCCAAGCATCTTAAGTCTCTCCAGGTGGTGGGGACCGGCCTGGGCCAGAAGTCCTGCCCCGCCTGCCTTCTCCAGAATGGCTGGCTCAGGGAGTGGGAGCCTGAAGGTTCTAAAGTCTCTCCCGGTGGCGGGGACTGGCCTGGGCCAGAGGTCCAGCCCCGCCTGCCTTCTCCGGCTTGGCTGGCTCACGGTGTGGGAGCCCCGAGCCTCTTAAGTCTGTCTATGCAGTGGGGAGCAACCTGAACTGGGGTCCCATGGCGGCACGTGGTTCCTGCCTGTTCCAGCGCAGATCTCGGGTCTTCTGTCGTTGCTCCTTAATAGTTGCAAATTGGTCATTCTATGGGAGAGAGTGACACCAAGAACCGACTACTCCACCATCTCGAGTGGGACTCCACCTTTTCAATTTAAATCTGTGTCATCAGTCACAAAAGGAATGCATTTGTTGAAGTACTTCTCTGCTTGGCTATTCTTGGAACTGTGCATTGCACCAAACACAGTTTTATTATTGATTGTGGATAATATTTCAATTTTGCTGAAAAGAAAGTTCAATCTTAAAATAAGGTAATAATGTTTTCCAGCAGATATTGCTTTTGAAACACCTAAAACTTTTCTTGGAATTGAAATTGCCAAAGAAAATAATTACTTGTGTACTGCATGTTAAAATATAAATATATTTACTAGGGCAGGTATCAAAGATGCTGTTTAGACAAATTTGACAGTTATTCTATTTCTCAGAACTCGTGAATATCATAGTATACAAAAGGCCCTGCAGAAAAGTGTCATACATTTTCTAGTTCCTATATGTTTATAGTGTCAGGTTTAGTTGAATCTTAGAAGAAGGCTGTAATTGAAATGTCTTCAAGATACAGAGCATGAAGACAAGATAAACAATCAAAACTGTACTAAAAGAAACATAGCCCTTTTTATATTTGCTGTGGAAATGAAGCTGTGATAGTATTCTCAGATTATAAACTGATAGTCTAAAATTATACAGGATCCTATATATGCATTTTTACATATTCTCTGTCAATTAAAAGAACCAATTACTGTTATCTGTATTTCATACTCAACTTCTATAATTTATCCAAAAAAAGAGCAAATGGACAGTTACTAGAACTTTTTAGTACCTTCCAACAACAAGATTTTTCTTGTTTGAGACAAATAAGCTTCACTACATTTTATTGACTGATTGATTGATTGGCAGCTGGCTGGTACAGGAATCCCAACCTTTGACCTGGGTGTTGTCACCACCAGCTCTCCCAAGTGAGCTATTGGCTAGCTTGTACATCTCTTGACAGAAATGATTCAGTAAAACTTAATTTACCAGAACCGTCAGTCCTCTGGATGCTTACTTCTGCATTCTACTTATGGGGAAAGGAGATACATCAAAAGGAGAGTTAGGTATTAGGGATTTCTAAAAAGCGAACACACTAATCTCTGTGGATTACTACACAGGTTTATTTCTCCCTCAAGCTATACACTGTAACAAGCCAGCTTCTGCTCTGTAATCTCTTCATTCCAGGACCCGGGGTATAGGAGCTGCCTGCCCTGGGACACTGCTAGAAAAGTGAAGATGTAGATTGTGTGATGGCGCCTGAAGTTTTTGCTGACAAATGGCATAGGTCCCTTCTGCACACTGTTCATTGGCTTAAGCAAGTCCATGCTCAAGCCTGAGGTCAGTGGAGTAGAGAAATATAATCTTCCTTCTGGGAGAGGCAGAGAATATCTTGAACAATACCAACCATACACACTTAGAGGATGAAACAGATAATGATACGGCTTCCATGGTCACTGACAATCTAAAATGGTCATCCAACCCACTGGAATGGAGATTGGACTGGTCTCACTGCTGTAGATCAGACCTGACTCAGTTTCCCTTGCAATCCTAACACCAATTCTCCTGTATATTTTAGATACATAATGCTATGATGTTCATTGATGCAATGTTCAGGAACATGTCTCTATGACAAGAAGCTCAATCACAGCCCTTGTATAAGAAATAGGAATAACATTTGTAAATTGCTAGGAACTTTGTTCGGAGCACTCCTGGGTGCTTTAGTTAATTTACCCAGGGCTGGCTGGTTAGCTCAGTTGGTTAGAGGGCAGTGCTGATACCACCAAGAACAAGAGTTGGGATCCCCATACCGGCCAATATCCCCAACCCCTGCCAAAAGAGAAAAAGAAAAATCACACAGTTGGTTAATCTACCCAGCAATTGGATGACTGTGGCAATACCTGGAGAAAGCTAAGGAGCCTCTACATCCCCAACACTTGGCACAGTACCTGGCAGATAGTAGAAAGTCAGAAAAAAAAAATCTTTTAAAAGAATGAAGTTTTAAAACCATCAAGGTAACTGGGAAGGCTTTGTGTCAAAATATTCACCTTTGGTCCCTAATCTTCCCCCTGTATGTCAGCTTCCCCTGCGTGGACAGCCTGCTCACAGCCCAGGTCATCTCCTTAGAAACACTCTTCCTTCCACTCCGAGGAGCAAGAATAAATAACCCAGTTGAAAGCTCTGCTAGGAGTTACGGGAACCGCCTCCTGCTTTGTCGCTAAAGAGAGGTAGAGAGGACAGAGGTGGGGCTGGAGCAAAGCAGCACCTCTGAGTGGCCCAGCAGTCACAGCGTCCCACTCGGCCAGGGTCCTGCCGGTTGCGTTCAGGGCCCGGCCCCTTCCCGCCCTAATCCCCAAATCCAACTTCGAAACAAATTTCCAGCAAGAGCTCCGGACGGGGGACCCGGCGTCTCCGCGATGGGCCCGGGGGACTACTGCCGCGGCAGAGAGAGAACTTCCCGGGGGCCCCCTGGAGGCCCAGGCTGAGCCGGGCTTTGGCTCCCGGTCCCTCGCCCCGCGCTCGGCTCCCCTCGGGGCGGCAGGGGCACGGACGTCGCGGCGGAGGCCCGGGCCACCAGCCAGCTGCTGGAGGACATGTGCCGGCGGCTGGTGCGCGCCCTCC